GAGATCGAATGGTCGTGGTTAACAGTCAGCCTACTAGGAAAGTTTTGCAAGACTCTCATCTCCAATTAACTACCGAAAAGCGGAAAATGGAGCCATGGCTCAAGTGGTAGAGCCAAAAAAAATCCGCACCTGAAGTTCAAGCCCCAGGACTGGAAGGAAGGAAGGAAGAAAGAAAAGGAGAAAGAGGAAAATGGTGGGAGAGAAGATAGAAGAGAGAGAAAAGTTACCTGCTGCACAGCACATTGAAACCAGAGGAAGCATCAGGATCTAGGGGTTAAGACATAAGTATCAAGGATGCCCCTGAGTGAGCATGAAAGAAGGATTTAAGTATAAAACTCAAAGAGGATAGCGGATATACCCATGTCCAGTGTAGATTTGTTAAGGGTACAGCAGCTCCTTAGGCCTAGATAGTAGGTTGAGCACCTTCTCCCAAATGTCTCAAGCTTGCCAGCTTTGTCTCTATTGTCACTAGTCCTCTGGGCAACTTTGCAGTGTAGGTGGTATTACTGCTTCAGCTACAGCTTAAATTGCTTTCCAAGTCTGGAGTTTCTCTCTTTATCCTGGAAAATAGGTGTACTGTAAAGTGACTTCCGTTGGGTAGCAGATCACTTATTTTGTGTATCAATTTGGCTCATTATTTTCATTAACGGAAGGACATCGTGTCATCCCTAAAGAAGGCAGTCATCCTCGTTCCACAATAGAAATTGGAACCATTCAGGTACAAGTCCAGGGGGGAGATGTGGCTCTTTCTCCTTGGGAAGCAGTAATTGCTTTTCTTTTGGTCAGTCGCGGGGCTTGAACTCTGGGCCTGGGCGCTGTCCCTGCGCTCTTCAGCTCAAGGCAAGCGCTCTACCACTTGAGCCATAGTGCCACTTCCAGTTTCTTTTCTTTTCTTTCTTTCTTTTTTTTTTTTTTTTGGTGGTTCGTGGGGCCTGAACTCAGCCTGGGTGCTGTCCCTCAGCTCTTCAGCTCAAGGCTAGTGCTCTAGCACATCAAGCACAGCGCCACTTCCGGCTTTTTCTGCTTATGTGGTGCTGAGGAATTGAACCCAGGGCCTCATGCATGCAAGGCAAGCACTTTGCCACTGAGCCACCTTCCCAGCCCCCAGGAGCAGTAATTTCAAGCACACCACACCGTCTCTACCCTTTGTAGAGCACATCTCCCAATCTGCTCTAGCAACCATAAGCCCAGCTGAGCCTATGCCCTGAGCCAGACTTGTGCTTTCTAGAGGAGGATCCAGGCTGGAGTCACACCTCATGCCTGTGCCTAGTAGAAGGAACAGAAGAACAGATAAGTAATTAGGATGGAAGGCACAAATGCTATGACCAAGGCCCTTGTGCTTGGTGAGTAAAGGAGAGGGGAGGTGAATCGGAAGAGTCTCCTAGGAATGCCTAGAGAAGTCTGCATTTATGCTGGGCTGTTAGCCCCATCCAGCTGAGGTCTGGAAGTATAGAGTAGTTTGGAGAACTTGGGCATTTGACTTCATGAAATTGAGGGCAGAGATTGAGATGTCCAAGTCCCCATGCATTCGTTGCCTGTGAAAGATTCTTGTTTCTTACAAAGTACCGATCATTTATTGTTTCCCTTTCTTCCCGGTCATGTTACAAGTGTCCTGTCAAGCAAAATATTATGTGCCTAACACTGGATTTGATGCTTTATTGAATTTAACTCTTAGTTGACCCTACAAATTAGGACTTGATCCATTTTACAGATGAGTAAACAGGGTAAGTAAAACTTGACCAATACCGCACAGATGGTAAATTACGGCAGTCTAGAAGTAGAACTTGGCCGGTACCATTCAGTGTTAAATGATGGTGGCCCAGGGTTACTGCCCAAGCAAGTGTGTCCAGTGCACCCCAGTGCTCCCAAGTACTTTCACACTAAGTACAGTCTCACTGGTCACACACTTACTAATTGTATGTTTGCTTGTGTGTGTGTGTGTATGTGTGTGTATACACATGGGTCTTAAGGCTTGAACTAAGGACCTGGGCACTATCCCTCAGTTTTATGCTCAAGGCTAGTGCTCTACCACATTGAGCTATATCACCATTTCCAGCTTTTTGGTTAATTGGAGGTTAGAGTCTCATGGACTTTCTTGTTCAGGCTGACTTTAAGCCCGATCTCAGCCTCCTGAGTAGCTAGGTGCGAGCCACCGATCACCTGACTTGCGTGTTTGCTTTTTAAAAGAAAACAAAAGCATTTTTTGGTATAGTGCTTTATGCATTAGTCAATTCAATTCTTGCCCAAACCTGTAAAACTATATACATTGTATATTACAGTCATAAGAAGAGGCCCTGGATTGATTCCCTGTTAACACCAAATAAATACATACTATACCAAATATATGTATATATTATATATGTATATCTCAAATAATGTTACTCATACAAGATTTTCATCCTATGTAATTACTTTAGAACCCAAGTGAAACAGAACTATTGTGGTAAAATTCCTATTTGGAGTTTGCTTTAATAGTGTTATTCTCATCGTAGGGAAAGAGACTTGTAGTGGCCTCCCCTCCTCCACTAAGAGCCCATATTGCACTTTACAGCTGTGGAATGCAGTTCTGGAAAGGCCTCCCTTTGCTCTCATGTCTGTGAACACCATCCTTCTCCACCCTTACCCTCTGTGAGATGCTCTCCACAGTGGCGTCTTAGGTAGTTTACATGAACTACTTGGCTTAATAAGACATCCCCTTGGCAGGAGCTGTATCTCTGGTACTCTTGTTCTCCCCCGCTACGTTTCATTACACTTTTGGGTTTTGTTCTTGTTTTTGTTTTTAAGGAACGAGATGGGCCCAGGTGAATGTCATTGTAACATTGGAGGTTCAAGGATAGCCTAATGCCAGCTCTGTGTGGAGCTAATTTCCCAGCACAGATGATGGCACCTGCTGTAGATAGATAACCACCCAGTGAGGGTTAACTTGGGAAGGTTACAGAGTCGCCTGTTGTTGCAGAACAGACTACCCAAAGAACTAGTGGTTTAAAACAACCATTTACCTTTCCTTGAGTCTGCTTCCTGATCTGGGCAGGCCTTTTTGATCTCAGCTGGGCTCCCTCAGGTATCTCTGGTCATTTGGCCAGTTTGCTGGGAGCCAGCCTGATCACACCTTAGAGGCCCAAGAGTGAGCAAGCCCAGCTATGCATGGAAACGGGAAATGTACGCAGTTTTCAAGCTTACGCTTGCAGCACATCTGCTAATGTTCTGTTGGCCAAAGAGTGATGAGATCATGCGCAGGGCCAGTGGGAGGGGAACTACAGAATTGCAGGAGAAGCCAGTAAATTGGGGGCATTAAATCCAAATACGATTAGTCTCCCAGTCAGGACCCCTCAATCTCAAAGAAAGCCTTCAGTCTTATATTTCTGGGTTTGATTTGTCCTAGGAGGGAAATAAACAGACCAAGTACTGACTGTGCTGGGCCTACGCTCCAGCATGTGCAGGGCTAGGCACTTCACCTGCTTTTGCAGCCACCCTCACAACAGCTCTGCAAGGTAGGTGGGCATCTCCATCACAGTTAAATAACTTGCTCAAGGTCATCTGGCTGATAGTGGTGGAGCTGAGATTAGAATGCATGACTCCACCATCCCTCCTGCCTCCTCCTCGGAGCACCAGGGTCTGGTGCACATATCCACCAATTTTCAATTGAGCTGGTGCTTCTTAAAAAAAAAAAATATATATATATATATACACACACACACACACACACACACATTTATATACATACATATCTAGATAGAGGGAAGGAAAGCATGAGTTGGGTGGCTCACACCTGTATTCCCAGCTTCTTAGGAGGCTGAGATCTTGAGGCCCATAGTTCGAAGCCAGTGGGAGTAGGAAAGTCTAGGAGACTCTTATCTCCAATAAGCCACTCAGAAAAAACAGGAAGTGGTGCTGTGGCTCAAGTGGTAAAGTGCTAGTTTTGAGCAAAAGAAGTTCAGGGACAGTGCCAGGCCCTGATTTCAAGCCCTAGGACCAGGAGGGGAAAATTTATATCATATATGTATGTATGTACACACACACATAGATATATACACACATATTTACTAGTTCTACAAACTTCAAACCATTTCTGTAATCCTAAAGAAGTGTGCATATTCTCCCAAACTGCATTGACTCAAGGCATCCTTTCCTCCCATAGGGTCTTGACCTTTCCTAGACATGCCAGACAGGAAAGAGCCATCTTTTTTTTTTTTTTGCCAGTGCTAGGGCTTGAACTCAGGACCTGGGCACTGTTCCTGAGCTTCATTTCCTTAAGGCTAGCACTCTACCGCTTCATTTCCTTAAGGCTAGCACTCTACCACTTGAGCCATAGCTCTGCTTCTGGCTTTTTCTGTTTATGTAGTACCAAAGAATTGAATCCAAGCCCGGCACCGGTGGCTCATGCCTGTAATCCAAGCTACTCAGGAGGCTGAGATCTGAGGATCACGGTTCAAAGCCAGCCCAGGCAGGAGAGTCTGTGAGACTCTTATCTCCAATAAACCACTAGAAAACCAGCATTGGCGCTGTGGCTCAAGTGGTAGAGCGCTCACCTTGAGCTGAAGAGCTGAGGGCCCCATGGCCGACAAAAAAAAAAAAGAATTGAGTCCAGGGCGTCATGCATGCTAAGGGCAAGCACTCTACCACTAGGCCACATTCCCAGCTCATCCATCTGTTTTTTTTTTAGTTCCTTGAGACCTGGGGATATCTGGGCATTAGGGCATCTGGGCATGAGCTTTGGAGTCAGACTCAATAAGGTTCAGCCACTCACCAGCTCTGTAACCCTGAGCAACTGATTTAACATCTTGAAGTCTTTATCTAAAAATAAGTAAAAATGCAAGTAAGAACACCTTGTTTTGCAGAGCTGCTACAAGGACTGAAACTAAATTGTGTTGATTAAGTGCCTAACCTAGTGCCTGGCACATAATAAGGGGTATTCCGAACACCACTGGCATTTCTCTAAGGAAAACCTCCCCCTCCCCCCCCCCCGCCCCCGGGAAACCCCATGTCTGTCTGTTGAACAGGTTCCCCCTACCTCCAGCCAGTCTGTGCAGACTTGCTGCCTGCTGTGTCATCGAGAACGAAAAGGCTGGGAAGAAGGCCCTTCACAAAACGGACTGGTATTGCAGGGTGAGAAGCTGCCCCCTGACTTCATGCCAAAGCTCGTCAAGAATCTCCTAGGCGAGATGCCCCTGTGGGTTTGCCAGAGTTGCCGGAAGAGCATGGAAGAAGACGAAAGGCAGACGGGTCGAGAACACGCAGTGGCGGTAGGTAACTGCTGCTGAGAGGGTCCCTCCGTGCACGGCTGCGTGGACCCAGCCTTTGCAGCTTTGGTTCCAATGAAGGGAAGGAGAAACCCCTCAGCACAAGATGCTCCCCTCCCCCCCTCCCCGCCCATAGATACCCATCGACTGCCATCCTGCCCCCTTGTCACCTGGCCACCGCAAGTCTGTGACAGTTGGGAAGGCAACCAGTATCAGCCAGAGAGCAAAGGTGACGAGTTGGAAATGTAGCCCAGTCCGTTGCATCTCATAGCTGGGAGCTTGGCAGTCTGCCATCCCATGAGCGGCGGCCAGGCCCTCCCTCGTTCCCTGCAGACTCTTGCCAAGGACGGTTCTATCTATATAGTGCCCGTCCCGGGGCTTGAACTCAGGGCCACGCACTGTCTCTTTTTTTGCTTAAGGCTGGCACTCCTTACAACTTGAATCACAGCGCCACTTTCAGCTTTTCGGAGGTTAATTGGGGATCAGTCTCACTGACTTTGCTGAGGGGGATGGCTTAGAACTCTGATCCTCAGATCTTAGCCTCCAGAGTAGCTAGGGCTATCGGCGTGAGCCATCAGTGTCAACCCCAGGATCATTTTACCTCCAAGATTCCTGGTGTAAAGACATCATTCTTGTTCTTCCCACTCCCCAGAGGCCCATGTTCACAGGAAGGCTTAGCTGTACGTCCATGGAACTGAGCTCACCACAGCCCCTCCCTGCACAGGCCTGACTCTTGCTTGAACTTCAGCCTGGGTTGCTCTAATTGTGCTTTGGCAACAGCACAAGAGCCTGGAGGACAGAGTATGCTAGGGGGGTAAACAGAGGCAGCAAAGGGTCAGCTTCACTATTTGACATGAGTCCTTTTCTTCCTCCTTTCCAGATCTCCTTGTCACACTCATCTTGCAAGTCACAGTCCTGTGGGGGTGACTCTCATTCTTCCTCGTCCTCCTCTTCATCATCCTCATCTTCCTCTTCCTCCTCCTGCCATGGGAACTCAGGGGACTGGGATCCCAGCTCGTTCCTGTCTGCACATAAGCTCTCGGGGCTGTGGAACTCCCCACACACAGCGGGGGCCATGCCAGGCAGCTCCCTTGGGAGTCCCGCCATCCCCGGTGAGTCTCTAAGCTCGGGAGAGAGGTGACTCCTCGGTGTAGGTGGCTGCATTTCCCTCTCATCAGGGATCGGTTATTTAGATAATAAAGCATGGAGCTTTCTGATGCAGCAGGAGAACCTAGGCCTTGACTGTCTCTGTGAAGCAGCTCTTCCTGAACTGTGAAGTTAAATAGTGCTTGCAGGGAAAAGGTTGCCTGGGCTTCTTTGGCTCTCATAGCAGAAGGGCCCGTAGGGAAGGCAGTAGGACTTAGGTCACTAACATTTGCTCTACAGCACGATGGATAGCCTATTTTCCCCACCTGAGGGGTGGTGAAGAACTAACTCGATCTCCACCAGAGACTGGCAGTGCCAGCTGCCCTACTGATGAGAGAGCTGGAAGCTGTAGAAGCCTTTTTTGGACTCTAGGCTATTCCTCAGAGACCCAGAGAAAAATCCCTTGAATTCCCAAATTATGACATGAATATGAATGACTGTCCTACCTCTAAATGGAGAGGCAGAGTTCTTTTTTTTTTTTTAATTCTGGGCCTGAGCACTGTTCCTCAGCTCGAGACGAGCGCTCTACCTCTTGAGCCACTGAGCCACTTCCGGTTTTCTGGTGATTATTTGGAGATAAGATTCTCCAGGGACTTTCCTGCCCGGGCTGGCTTTGAACCTCGATCCTCAGATCTCCGCCTCCTAAGTAGCTAGGATGACAGGTGTGAGCCACCGGCACCTGGCCAGAGTTCTTCAATGGTTTTGGCCCTAGAATTAGATGAGTTGAGCAGTCTGTAATTCTAGCTACTTTGGTCTATGAGGCAGAGTGCCATCAGAACCTTTCCCCAGTTCCCCTCTGAAATCTGTGGCCTTCTGAGAGTCAGGCATCAACTGGTTTCTGGTCTGCGTGTCCCAGAAGCAGAGCCGAGGCCTGCTGCAGCTCCTGTCCCAGGCCTGAGAAGTGCCTGTGAACCGCCAGGTCCTGGGCAGACCCAGAGAACAGAGAGCATGTCAATTCGCTGGTGGCGCTATAGCAGAGAGGCCTGTGGCCCTACTCAGGGCCAGCATCCCCAGTGCCGTCTCCCTTAGGCCTGGTCTCTTCACACCTGTCCAGATAAGCTGCTGCCCGCACTGATTCCCAGGCTGAGAGGCTGTGTGTGTGCTCCAGTCACACTGAGCGGGGCCATGGCAGTGAGCCCGCGGGCTTCTCAGTTCTGACCTCTCTCTCTCCACTCCACCCACAGGTGAGGCTTTCCCCATCTCGGAGCACCACCAGCATTCAGACCTCACTGCTCCCCCTAACAGCCCCACGGGCCACGCCCCACAGCCAGTGTCTCTCCTCCCTTCTCATCCTGGCTCCTTTGGCTCACCGCCCCACCCACACCTGCTCCCCAACACCCCAGCGACATCTTTCCCTGCCCAGGCTTCAGAGTGCCCTGTGTCTGCTGCCACTGCCCCCCACCCCCCAGGGCCGTGTCAAAGTCCCCACTTACCCTCCACCAGCATGCCCCTCCTGAAGATGCCTCCACCATTCTCGGGGTGCAGCGGGCACTGCAGCGGGCACTGCAGCGGGCCTCTTCTCCCACCGCCGAGCTCCCAGCCACTCCCTAGCACTCACAGGTAAGTGAACGGTGTGCAGGGCCCCAGGGCCACTACAACTGGAGACTGGGAAAACTTTGACCAAGGGGGCCTTTGGGGTAGAAGTGAAAAAGTAGATTGTGCTAGGGTAGGCTTAATGGTAGAGCACAGAGTTAGCCTGTCAAGGACCTTGGTTCAATCCCTAGCACCAAAAAATTAAACAAAGGATGGCGTATTTTTCTTTCTCGACCACCTATGCCACACCTCTAGCTTTTCTTGATTAATGAGAGATATAAGAGTCTCATGGACTTTTCCGCCCAAGCTGGCTCTGAATCTTATTCTTCAGATCTCAGCCTCCTGAGTAGCTACAATTACTTACAGGTGTGAACCATCCATTCCTACCACTGTTTTCCCAATTAGAAAAGAATTGCTTTTTCAGCTGGCCGCCGGTGGCTCACGCCTGTCATCCTAGCTATTGAGGAGGCTGAGATCTGAGGATCACGGTTCAAAGCCAGCCCAGGCAGAAAAGGCCGTGAGACTCTTACCTCCAATAAACCACCAGTGGTGCTGTGGCTCAAGCGGTAGAGTTCTCGCCTTGAGCTGAAGAGCACAGGGACAGTGCCAGGCCCAGGGTTCAAGCCCCACGACTGACAAAAAAATAAAGAAAATTAAAAAAAAATTGGTTTTTCAGCTTGAAACAGTTCAGAAGTGTATGTCCTCACAACTGAAAGATAAACTTCTAACCTTGTGATCTTGTTTAGTTTTTTTGTTGTTGTTGTTATTGTTTTCTTTTTTGCTTGGTCTTGGGGCTTGGACTTAGGGCATGAGACACTGTCCCTGAGCTCTTTTGCTCAAGATTAGTGCTCTACCACTTTGAGCCACAATTCTACTTCTGTTTTTTTGGTGGTTAATTAGACATGAGTCTCATGGACTTTTCCTGTGCTGGCTGGCCTCAAACTGTGATTCTCAGATCTTAGCCTCCTGGGTAGTTAGGGTTACAGGTGTGAGCCACCAGGACATGTATTGTGATTTTTTTTTTGGGGGGGGGGGGGCAGATTCTGTGTATAAATGACATGCTCCAATCAATGTATGGTAATTGTGTGTGTGTGTAGCAATTTTTTTGTTTTGAGATAGTCTTGCTATAAAGCCTAAGCTGGCCATGAATGATCTGAGTGCTAAGATCGTAGGTATTCCCTGCCTTCCTCTCCAGTCCCTGCCAGCTGCTGCAGCAATTATCTCTCTCTTTTCTTTTTTCTGTGTATGTGGTACTGGAGAATCAAACCCAGGGTTTCATGCATGCTAGGCAAGCACTCTTCCACTAAGCCCCGCAGCAATTATCTTTAAATACATTGTGATCATCTCTCCAGTTAAAAAACTTTCCGTTGGCCATGTAACATCTTACCATATGGCTCTGGCCTAATTTATTTATTTTTTCCTATTCCTGGACATTTAATCACGTCCAGACTTTGTATGTGTGTGCCAGTCCTGGAGCTTGAACTCGGCCTAAGCATTGTCCTTGAACTTCTTTTGTCTCAGACTAGCGCTCTACCACTTGAGTCACAGCTGTACTTCCAGTTTTCTGAGTGGTTTATTGGAGATAAGAGTCTCACTGACTTTTTTTTTTTTTTTGGTCGGTCGTGGGGCCTGGGCGCTGTCCCTCAGCTCTTCAGCTCAAGGCGAGTACCCTACCGCTTGAGTCACAGCGCCACTTCCAGCTTTTTCTGCTTTATGTGGTGCTGAGGAATCGAACCCAGAGCCTCATGCATGTAAGGCAAGCGCTCTACCACTGAGCCACTTTCCCAGCCCCATCTCATGAGGTTTTTTTTGCCCAGGCTGGCTTCAAGCTGTGATCCCCAATCTCAGCCTGTTGAGTAGCTAGGATTACAGGGGTGAGCCACCAGTGCCTGGCTGGGAAAGATGTTTTGTTTTTTAGTTGTATACAGGGATTTGGGGCCAATGTGCAGTTTATGTGTACAATGCATGGTGATGGGTGTCACCCCTTCCATCCTTTTCCTCCCATCCCATCTCTTCCAACCCTGCCTGTCCCCTCCTTTCCTCCTTCCATTTCCTGATACGTGATATTATGACTATTATGACTATATTCAAGTATGTGACTATATTTGAATATTGTTAGTAGTAGTATATGACTACTCACCCACCATTCCTCTATCCATACATTCACCCCTAACCCCCACTTTCCTTAAATAAGACATGTTTCAGCTGCCTGGCATTCATTTTGGCATACTGTCAGTTAATTGTTCAAAGGAGTTAAACCATGGGACTCTACCCCTGTGTATTAACATATTTTACTGTTTGATCACCTATTTATTTATTTTGGTCGGTCGCGGGGCTTGAACTCTGGGCTTGGATGCTGTCCCTCTGCTCTTCAGCTCAAGGCAAGCGCTCTACTGTTTGAACCACAGTGCCACTTCCGGCTTTCTAGTGGTTTATTGGAGATAAGAGTCTCAGGGACTTTCCTGCCCGGGCTGGCTTTGAACTGTGATCCTCAGATCTCAGCCTCCTGAGTAGCTCGGATTGCAGGCATGAGCCACCGGCGCCCGGCTAACCATTTATTTTTTAAAACCCTGCCCCAACCTTTCTGTCCTTTCCCACAGAAGAGGGTAACATTAGCCTTCCCCAAGAATTTGGTTTCCACATGGCTTAATATTCCTGCCTCCTTCCACCCATGCCTCAGCCCCATCTTGCAGCCGCCCTTCAGCCGTTGCTGGCACCTAGGGCTCTAGTTCTTTCCAGCTCCAATTCTGGGACCTGTCAGCCTGTGTCTCATACACTGGGAGAATTTTTTTTTTTCCAGTTCTGGGACTTGAACTCAGGGCCTGGGCACTGTCCCTAAGCTTCTTTTGCCATGATGCCACTTCTGGCTTTTTCTCCTTCTGTGGTGCTGAGGAATCGAGCCCAGGGCCTCATGCATGCAAGGCAAGCGCTCTACCACTGAGCCACCTTCCCAGCCCATGGGACATGTTTTATGTAACAGCCCCTAGTGCTTTCCAGAATCCAGAGGTAGGACTGTGGAAGGGAGAAAGCACAGACACAGGCTAGCATCCTGCCACCTGTTGGCCCGAGCTGTGAGCACTGGGTGCCTCCGTCTCTAGACCACTTCAAAACACCTCTTTTTGCAGGACTGGTACTTGCTGAGTACAGAGCTGGCACAGGCAATAGCTCTTATAATCTGTAGGCCATGAGACCTATTGACCCATTTATTAGGGTCATCCCAGGCTGGTCTTGAACTCTGTCTTCCTACCTTAGCTTCTTAGTCCTGGAATTACAGGCACTGTGCTGACTCATTTGCTTCCCCCCCCCCCCCCCCCCCCCCCCCGTCAATTTAGAGCCCCTGGTTAAGGAAGTACTGAAGCCACACTGAGGTCATTAAGACCTTAGAAAGTAGACACAGACACTGACCTCATTAACGGCACCTGCGTGTGTCCCCCTGGGGACGCCGTTAGCTTGCCGATGAGTTTGGGCCCTACTTACTGAGCAACTGCTATGTTCAAGGTTGTCCTTATAGGTACAGTGATCGCCAAATCGAAGTGGTATAGCCTCTTAGCCTTGGCTGGATAGAAGTGGTATAGCCTCTTAGCCTTGGATGGTACAATCCAGTGACAAATGACAGACAGACCATTACATTAGCACACGAGGTATCCATCCACATGATGCCCTGAGCAGTGGGCCCTTTGTAGGTACTGGCAGAGCAGGCATCAGAAAGCTTTCCAGAGGGGCGGCCTTTGTGTTTGGATGGCCCTGAGGGACTGGCAGGGGCTTGTTGCCCTTGGTGTTGTGACTGGCCCTGGCATGGTGGGGAAAGGCAAGGTGGCTTGTGCCAGCACCCCTCACCCTCACACCTGGGCCTGTCTTTTCCCCTACAGCAGGGACCCCGGGTGCAAGGGGCACAAATTTGCACACAGTGGCCTAGCCTGCCAGCTGCCCCAGCCCTGTGAGGCCGACGAGGGGCTGGGCGAGGAAGAGGATAGCAGCTCTGAGCGAAGCTCCTGCACCTCGTCCTCCACCCACCAGCGAGACGGGAAGTTCTGCGACTGCTGCTACTGTGAGTTCTTCGGCCACAATGCGGTGAGTGAGCCCCCCCGGGCCAGTGAGGGCTGGGGGCCAGCCCAGGTGAGCCAAGGAGCCCCACGCTCTTCCCCAGACGCCCCTCACTCCTGCCGATCGCCACTGCCCAGGGCCCGGCGAGCCCTCACACCTGCGTCGCTCGCTCGAGCCTCACGGCACCTGCGTAAGGTCTGGGATTTATTTTTATTTTTATTTTTTTGGAACGCTTTGCCGCCTTTGCTCTTCTCGTGGTTTCTCTTCAGATTGACTTTTTCTCCTTAGGCCAAAGGAAAGGAAGTGGCAGAGAGAAAGCTATGGTTCTGATGAGTATGTATACGTGTGTAAGCCCAGAGAACTGAACACCTGTGCGTGCTGAAGGCAGAATGGAAGCGCAGAGTTTCTCAGGTCCCCAAGTGTGACAGCCAGCCGAGGGGGACAGGCCGTGAGCACAGATGGCACCAGGAAGGAGGCTCAGATCAGAGTCCATGCGGCCTTGGACAGGGGAAAAGCAGTTCAGATCTCCTAAGGTGAAGAGGAAAGAAAGGGCTCTCCGGTCAGGGCAGAGCAGTGGAGGATAGGAAAAATGGCAGTCGTTTGCTCCTTGTCACCTTTGAGCTCTGTTATCCGGGTTTTAGAGATGACAAAATGGAGGCTCACAAAGCCCCGGTGACTCGCCCAAGGTCATACAGCTTCTGAGTGACGAAAGCCAGCCTCAAACCGGCTTCCCTGGCTCCCCGGTCCGTGTTCCCCAAGCCATGTCCTGTCTGTCCCCCACCCCCACTCCCCCCCACCCCTCGCTCCCCCTCCCCGTTCCTTTCACTCGTGGCAGCCTCAGCTTGAGCCTGCTGAGGGCGAGGCCGTCTGGCCTTGGCGGATGGTAGAGAGAACGGCTGCCGGCTCCTCACCACATCCGTGGTGCCCGCGGGTGGGGAGTTGCTGCGGGGGCTCCCAGGCCCGGGGTGTAATGTCAGCGCCTCCCCCTCCCCCAGCCACCCGCTGCCCCGACGAGTCGGAATTATACCGAGATCCGGGAGAAGCTCCGCTCGAGGCTGACCAGGCGGAAAGAGGAGCTGCCCGTGAAGGGGGGCGCCCTGGGCGGGATCCCTGGGGAGCCCACCGTGGACCACCGAGATGTGGATGAGCTGCTGGAATTCATCAACAGCACGGAGCCCAAAGTCCCCAACAGCGCCAGGGCCGCCAAGCGGGCCCGGCACAAGCTGAAAAAGAAGGTGGGTGTGGGGGGGAGCTCAGCTCTACCGCCTCTCCTCCCCCCGAGGAACCCCAAGCCCTGAGCCGTCCGGGGCATGGATGGTGCTGGCCGCCAGAGGCCTTGGAGTGGCTCGCCGCGGCGGGGAAGGTCTGGATGAATTTGGGAGGCAGCAGGGGCAGGGAACCTGGGGCGAGTCCTTGGAGGAAAAGTCTCTGAGCCTCAAGTTTCTTGCCGGACTCCTCCAAACCCAGGACTTGGCATCAGCAGCTACTTCCACAGATCCTGGGAGCCAAGGGGTGATGCACTGAAGTCCTCACCTGGGAGAAGCTGAGTCCAGTGAGGACACTGGCCCAGAAGTGGACAGGCCCGTTAGCAGGTGTGGAGTCCCAGGCTGAGGGCAGCCCCCTGGAGCTGGCTTAAGAGGCCGACTCCAGCTGAGTCGCGGGGCGTGAGAACAGATCCATCAGGAGGGCGCTGCTGGCCGCCGGCGCGGCGTGCCCCACAGCACCTTGAGAAAGGCAAAAGATGACCACAGCAGAGGCAGGACGGACAGTGGGAACAAGGGACAGACGAGCACAAGGCCAGGGGGAGCTGGAGCTGGATGCCTCAGGCAGGGGCTGAGCTGAGGGAGAGCTGGCTGAGGGAGGGAGGGGCTGCGGCAGAAGAGGGACGTGCAGAGAGCACAGGTGACAGGCCCGGGAGCGGATGGCAAGACAGGGCGATGGAAGCAGGGACATCTCCCGGGTCATGGCAAGGAAGATGGTGGCGCCTCTGACCGAGCGCAAGACTGGAAGCAGTCGGGGCACGGTGCCTCGGAGGCGTTCCCGGGAGACTGGGGCTGGAGGTGCGGGAATAGGAGTCACCAGCGCAGAGACGTAGTGGAAGCCATGGGAATGAAGCAGTGCTCAGCACTGAGGACTGAACCCAGGGAGCTGTTCCCAGGCAGCCCTGCTGGATGGGCCTCCAGGGCTAGAGCGCTCGTCCCTGCGGCTTCATTACCTCTTCGCCTGCCTGCCTGCCTGCCCCCAACTACGTCTGCACAGTGCCCCCTCGGGAGCCCAGCATCTGAAGAGATTTGGGGTTGACAGCCAGCTAGTTCAATTTCTGGATGGTCAAACAGCCCAGCCCTAGTGATGTGGAAGGCAGAAGTGATTCTCCATGTCTTTCCAGCCCAGAGGACAGCCCGGGATCCTTCTGCAGCCGGATGTAGTGAGCCAGAGTCAGCCCTTGCTTGCTCTTAACCAGATTTGCCAGTGGGACTCGGTGCTCTCTGGCCTCTTGGGATAGCATTGCTTACCAAAGTCCCCAGAGACTGCCCTCAGCAGTTCCCAGGCCCCCTGTGCCCCCAGACAGCCCTCCTCCTCCTCCTCCTCCTCCTCCTCCTGATCCTCCTGATCTTCCTCCTCCTCCTGGGGTGCTGTCCGCTCGCCTCTTCTTGACAAGCTTAGTCTTCAGTGAAGCATCCACAGGCCATTCTGCCATACTCCTGACACACCCTGCATCTCTCCAGATTTTTCCTCCTAATTCCGAAGCTCTCTGCACAGCCACTGTGTGCCAGGCCCAGCCTAGATGCTCAGACTGACGAAGCAGACCTTACTTGCCATGTACAGACCTGGAGCTACGTGCAGGGATGGACACACACGGGCAGACACAGTGTCAGTCAGACATAGTTGGTGTCATTATCTGTTTTTTTCTTTTTTCTTTTTTTTTGATCAGTCCAGGGCTTGGGCGCTGTCCCTGAACTCTTGCTCAAGGCTAGCTCTCTACCACTTTGAGCCACAGTGCCACTTCTGTTTTAGAGAGGTTCATTGGAGATGAGTCTCATGGGGACTTTTCTGCTAGGGCTGGCTTTGAACCGTGATCCTCAGATCTCAGCCTCCTGAGTAGCTAGGACTACAGGTGTGAGCCCCGGGCGTCTAGCTGTCATTTGTTTAGACCTTAGCTTCCTGCACCTCCTGAGCTTTCCTGTCCACCCAAACCCTGCTTCCAGCAGCCATGGGATAAGGGCCTCCCCTATCCTGGGAGAGGGGTGAAGCTTTCAGTCCCCTCCTGCTCTCGCTTCCAGTCATCATTCTTGCCTTTGTCTCCTCACCCTGATCCGTTGAGGCTATACCCCAGCCCTGCCTCTTCCCGTACTGAATACTGCCGTCTGCCCTTTCCTCTTCTCTGGGCGAGCCAGCACTCGCTCGCTTAAATTGAGTATTGATACAAGAGCAAGCGCAAATGGAACCCATCGTTCCGTCACCCTTACAGCTCTCTACGTTCTTTGCCCCGTTACCCTTGCTTTCACACCCACGCTGCAAAACAACAACAAAGCCCCGGGTGCCCTTCTGCAGCTGGGCGATAATACCCCACTGGGTGAGTGTCCACTTTCCGGAGGCAGCTCCGCCTCACACCCAGTCACCTGGTCCTTCTGTCAGAACTCTGTTCTCCAACTTGGAGGCCTTCTCCAGATCCCCTTACGTGGTTTTTCCTGTTTCACTGAGGAAACGGGCCATCACTGGGCAGACCTGACCCCAATCACCCCACCCGCTAATCATTCCTCATCTTACCATGCCTTAAGAAGGTGACATGGGGGGGGCTGAGGCCTCTGGGGCAGTTCCCGTCACACATGAGCTCTTTTCCTCTGCTCCATGTCAACAGCAGACAGTTCTTGTAGCTTGCTGTCCCCCAGTCCATTCGCTCTCGTCACAGCCACAGTCCTTGAAGAAACAGCATCCATCTTGTCTTCCCCGCCTCGTCAGCCTTCTGCAGTCTTCTCCATTCCCATCCACGGGAGAGGCTCCCTTCTCATTCTATTTCCATGACCCTTGATGTACTCTGTGCTTGTCTTAGGCTCCTCCCCCCGCCCCCCCTCCCCAGCATAAAAAAAGCAGTGGGACTACCATCTTCACCAGATTTCTTACGTGTCTTTAACATTCCTGTCTCCTTTGTGACCTCCTAGCCCTCCTCGAGCACCTCTCTCTGAGGAAGAGAAGATGTAGGTAGGGTTTCCTCCCTGCACTTCACCCCAATGTCCAACTCTGCCTCTAGCATCCTCTTCAGGAAACCCCTCGGGTACCTCTGACGCGCCATAGCTAAAACTAAGCTCGTGATCTTCCTCCAAAGAGGCCTGCCTTTTCTTCTCCATTCGTTTGTCTAGTCAGGGGCACCGCCGTCCGCCCTGCTGCCTGCCCCGAGCCCCGGGTACTGTCCTGGGGTGAGGGGGGAGGGTTGCATCATGGGGACCCAGAACAGCTGGCCTGGGAATCGGACCTCAGTTGGAAGCTTGGCTCTGCCACACTTGCTGTATGACCTTCGGCAAATCACTGCGCCTCCAAGACTCAGTTTCTGCATCCGTAAAATGAGACTAACAGGAACCAACGGCATAGATGGTTGTGAGAATAACATAACACATGGGAAGCCTGTCAGAGCGCCTGGCGCCTGGGAACGCTCCGTCCGTGGAGACTGCGGAAGCAGCCATAGTGGTTGCTAGCAGTCTCAGGATGGGCTTTATTCTCTTCCCACCCAAAACCAAAAGTCCGGACTGTAGTACTTCCCCAGGGGGACAGCGTAAGCCAGGCCACCTCTCCACCTACTACCCATACTTCCTAAGCCTTCAGTGGCTCAGCATCACCTCAGGCCCAAACCCACATTGTTCAGGATCCAGCCCGTTAGCTTGCCACCTTCCTCCACCTCCCCTTTCCTACCTGCCTTCCCGTTCCCTAAGTCGCCCCTGACCCTCCTACCCTAGCCAGGCTCTAGGGAATGCTTCCCATTCTCTGACGGCATGCTTTCCCCCTCCCCAGCCTCTCCACCTGCACTTGCTGTGGCCTCTCGTTCTCCAGGATCACTCCAACCACCTGTGCGAGTGCTACCTCCAGTCTGGGATAATAGCGCCCCGTGCTTTCTTCCTAGGTAGCACTCTCTGTTACTCTGAACTAAACAGCCCATTTTCATGGCTGCCTCCTCAGCAGACTAAAGTCGGGGACAGAGACGGGGTCTCATGCCCAGCCGTGCAGCACTCCCAGAGCCCAGCCTCCCGCCTCACAGTCAGTAACTAAGCAGTGCAAGGTGGGCAAACTCAATTGAACACCTTCTGTCTCTGATGGGTTGTCCTGACTTTGCCACTTAGCAGCAAAGTATCCTTGAGCCTGTTCCAGACTCTCCCCAAAGGCAAGCAAGATTCCTCATCTGTTGTCTAGCAAGGACAGTAGTAAGGATTGACTGAGACAGATTACAGATGGAGCCAGGCTCTTGGTATGGAACAGATGTGGTTTCTGTGCTTTCTCTTTTTCTTGCTCCCAGTGTATATGGTTTGACAGTACTCAAACTGACTCTGTGTGTGTGTGTGTGTGTGTGTGTGTGTGTGTGTGTGTGTGTGTGTGTCCTGGACACTGTCCTTGGGCTTTTTTTTGCCAGTCCTGGGGCTTGAACTCAGGGCCTGGGCGCTGTCCCTGAGTTTCTTTTGCTCAAGGCTAGCACTCTACTGCTGGAGCCACAGCACCACCTCTGGCTTTTTCTGTTTATGTGGTGCTGAGGAATGGAATCCAGGACCTCATGCACGCTAGGCAAGCCCTCTCAGTCTGTCCCTGAGTTTTTGTGTTCAAAGCTAATGCTCTACCATTTGAGCCACAGCTCTACTTCCAGCTTTTTTGGTGCTTAGTTGGAAATAAGAGTCTTATTTTCCTGCTGGGGCTGGTTTTGTGTTTTTGTTTTTTTTTCTTGGTCATGGGGCTTGAACTCTCTGGGCTTGGGCACTGTCCCTCAGCTCTTCAGCTCAAGGCGAGCGCTCTACCACTTGAGCCATAGCACCACTTCTGGTCTTCTAGTGGTTTATTGGAGATACGAGTCTCACGGACTTTCTTGCCAGGCTGGCTTTGAACCGTGATCCTCAGATCTCAGCCTTCTGAATAGCTAGGATTACAGACATGGGCCATGGGTGCCCGGTATCCCTTACACTTTTTAATTGAGCAGCAAGCCTTTTTCCTATGAGTGAAATCTTGCATAGAAGCCCAGTGTATAACAGCCACAGAGCTGGGCTGGTGTGGGTCAAGGCCCATCACCATCGCCTCCAAAGCTGGAAATGCTGGAGGCCATGCTGCTGCCCACCTGAGCCCCCATCGTTTACAGCACAGCCTTGGCACATGGCTGCTCATGTACAAACTAGTGAGGTGCAGGTGCTTTTTCTTCCTATGTTATAAACTGGGAAGTTAAGGTTCAAAGAGAATAAGTGACTTGTCCAAAGTCTTCTGAAGACAGTCATGGAATAAGTGTTCTAAAGCGATGAAAATAAGTGCCTGCCCCCTGTCAGAATAGTGTGCCCTCTTTAGGTGGCCTCTGAAGTGGCTTCTCTTCTCTCCCTTATCTGCAAGTAGACCAGAAATAGGTGAGCTGGCATTTGTTGCTAATGCCAGAATACAGTGCATTGGTCTCCTGTCACAGTGGTGGAGTAACCCAGCCATAGGCTGATTTGCATTCTCATGCAGGTGTAGCAAAGCTGATTGGCTTCCATGGTCAGGCCTCAGAGCCTCCCAGTCCTTCCCTGAGCTCAGAATCTACATTGGTGTCTCTGCAGGGCATACTTTAGGTGTAGACCTAATTGCCTGAGGCTAGCTGAGCAGCCAGGGCCTTTCTAAGGGCAGGGACCCCTTTGAGGTAGCCAGCCACTGCATGAGGAGGTGCTATGTGTTTGTGTGTATCTTACCTACCGTTGGGAGTCCTTTTCAGAGGACAGACTCATTCGGCTTTTCTCTGCCACCCACCCACAGCGTTGGCAAGACCGCCTCTCCAGCCGCCAGCTTCCTCGTCAGCGTCCCCATTTTGGTCTTCACTCCAAAATTATTGTCCCCATTTTGTAGATGAGTGCACTGGAATTGCTCAAGGTTTCCTTTAATATCCACAAGGCAAATGCTGTCCCTTTGAGACCTTAGCCCTTAGACCCCAGGACTCACGCAGGCTCAGAATAAACCAAAACAAGTATTAATAAACCAGATGTCAAAATCTTGCACTCTGCCCACCCCCCACCCCCAGATTGGTACTTGTCTGATTGCAGTTCACCCACTTTCTTGCCAGGTGGGAAAGCAGGCCAAGGTGCTGTAGCTCTGCCTCCAGCAGATTATTGGCAAAGCTGGGCCCTGGGCCGATGGGTCAGGCGTCACTTTAAGCCCAGCAGTTGGCAGGCCTCTGCTGACACTGCCTCTTGTATTAGCAGGAGAAAGAGAAGGCCCGGTTGGCAGCAGAAAGTCTGAAGCAGGCGAATCGTGTTTCTGGAAGCCAGGAGCCGAGGCCTGCCAAAGAGAGGCTCTTAGAGTGGCCTGACCAGGAGCTGGACCGGGTCAACAGCTTCCTGAGCAGCCACCTGCAGGAGATCAAGAGCACTGTGAAGGACTCCCTCCGCGCCAGCTTCAGCGTGTGCGAGCTCAGCATGGACAGCAGCTGCTTCATCAAGGAGGGGGCTGAGGAGTCGCAACCCCAAAATCTAGTCCCCTCAGACCTCAACGGCTCCTCTGACCAACAGCCTGATATCAACCTTGACCTGTCCCCCTTGACTCTGGGATCCCCCCAGAACCACACGTTACAAGCTCCAGGCGAGCCAGCCCCACCATGGGCAGAAATGAGAGGCCCCCACCCACCATGGACAGAGGTGAGGGGCCCCCCACCTGGTATTGTCCCTGAGAATGGCCTGGTGCGGAGACTCAACACCGTGCCCAACCTGTCCCGGGTGATCTGGGTCAAGACGCCTAAGCCGGGCAACCCCAGCTCCGAGGAGCCCGGTTCAAAGGAGGCACCCAGTTGCAAACAGGAACTGTCTGAGCCTGTAGCCACTGTGGGGAAGCCAAAGAAGGGCAAGAGACAGGGTGCTCAGGCCAAGAAGAGCGAGGCGAGCCCCGCCCCCCCACCTCCAGACAGCCTAGACACTCCTAGTGCCAAGAGCCAAGTGCCTGGCTCCAAGCCGCCAGCCAGGGCCTCTGAGCCTCCCAAAGGAGGCAGCTGTGCTGAGGCTGGAGAGGGCAGCCAAGGGAGCCGGCCAAGACCAGGCTGGGCAGACAGCCCCAAAACTGCGAAGGAGAAGGGCAGCTCCTGGCAGAACTGGCCGGGCGAGGCCAAGGCACGGGCTTCAGAACAGGAGTCTGTGCTGCCCTCAGGCCCAGCCAGGCCCCAGAGTTTGCCCCAGGGCAAGGGCCGCAGCCGGAGGAGCCGCCACAAACAGGAGAAGTCAGCTTCCTCGCTGGGTGAGTGCACCAGGAGCCGAGGGGCTGACCCTCACCCCCGCCCGGCCATGGGGTGGAGGGCAGCGCTGCCCCCAGAGCATGACCCCGTAGGCCTGGCTGCTGGCACTGAGCCCCCCTGGCTGTGTCTTCCTAGACGATGTGTTCCTGCCCAAGGACATGGATGGGACGGAGATGGATGAGACTGACCGGGAGGTGGAGTACTTCAAGAGGTAGGTGTGGGCGCCTGCCCTCCGCTCCCTGAGGGAGCCCACGCAGGCCTCGGGGCTCAAACGAGCCTGCTCCTTTGCCTTGATCTCTGGGTGGGAGCCTCCCCAGCCCTCCAGACCCTGCCACCTGCTGCGTCTGCTGGAGCCCAGGGAGTTGCCGTGAATGGGGAGAAGGAAGCATGTCAGGTCCCAAAAACCGGGCCTTTCCCAACTTACTTCTCTTGGACGTTATCTGCTCTGCATGGTCCAGGCTCTGTGAACAGAGTAGACCGGGAGGGATCTAGAAATCCACAGCCTAGCCACCAGTGCCACTAGAGTGTTGGGTGTGATGGGAGGGTGCAGGGGGGAGCCACCTGTGGGGCAGGGGCAGGCCCAGAGGCCTTCCTGGAAAAAGGGATACCAAGAGGAACCCTGAAGACTTCAGTCTGAGCTGGCCAGATAAGTGAGGTATACAAAGGGCCAAGGGTGAACCGAAACCAGTTCCATCCAGTGCCAGAAGATGCAGGGAGCTGTGGCTCAGGGCAGCCTCGCTGTCCTCCTGCACTCTTCCCTGATGCCAAGCTGGCAAGGCCCCTGTGCCTGCCAGCCCCAGCGCCTGCGAGTCGCTGGCTGTACAGAGCCAGCCGGCTTCTCGGCCGCGTACCCCAGCTCCACCAGGGGGTCGGGCGAGGAAGGAGGGGACCGCTCACTGCTTCTCCCGTGGCTCCCAAACCCTCCAGGTTCTGTTTGGATTCTGCAAAGCAAACCCGTCAGAAAGTTGCCGTGAACTGGACCAACTTCAGCCTCAAGAAGACCACTCCCAGCACAGCTCAGTGAGGTAGAGACCTCTTCCCGCGTGCTGTGCCGCTCCTTCCCGTGCCCCACCACACCAGGCCGGGGCCAGGGAGTAGGCCTTGCAGTCCGGCAGCCCTGCTATGTCTGCTTCTGCAGCCACCTACAGTGTCTGAAGGTCTAGGCTCCAAGTCTTCTGTGGCTGCTGGTTCGGACCTCTCTGTCCGTCTGTCTCTCCTCCCTGGCCAGGCCCTCTCCACGCCCCCGTTGGCCCGTGTTCCTGAAGGATCTTCCTGGACTGCCATTCTGAATGGTCACCACCAACCCAGCTGCCCCCTGAGCGCCTAGATGATCAGGCCTGGGGCTTAGTGGGGTCCCCAAGGCAGATGCCCAGTGTGAGAAGAGCCTGAGGGAGCAGTGAGGAAGTAGGAGAGGTAGAGCAAGGCTGTGTAGGCCATCTAAACCTGGAGGCTCCCCCCAAACAGGACTCCCCTCAGTGAACTGGGAGCCAAGCCGCCTAGTGGAAGAAGAGACCTGGTTCCCACAGGAATGCTGCTCTCCCTCCGGACACCTGCAGAAAACTTTTTATCAGACCTATTGGCATAGGGAGGATGTTTGTGGGCCAGGAACCTTGGTGCAGAAGGAAAGGGCCAGAGGCGGGCAGGTTTCGGTGCTGGGCAGTCTCCCTGGAGCGAGGCCTTTCCAGCAACTAGCAGCTGCACAGCTCCTGCAGGCAGCAAGAGGCTGGGACGGGGGGGTGCCTGGGAGGTCCCCTCTCACCGCCATTCTCTCTCTTGGGAGAGTTTCTCTGGATTAAAGTCGTGGACTTCCTAGAGCTCAGGCTCCCAGTGGCACTGGTGTCCCCCCCCCCCCAGTTGGGGCTCTCTTCAGACTCCCCCAGCTGTCCTCAGCTCTCAGCGGTAGGACTCTGATCTTTGTCAGACCAAGATGTCTGTACCCCAGGAACATCTTCCAGGACAAGGGTGCCCTTCTGTCTCATCAGCCTCCACAAGAAACAGTAGAGACCCCCTGCACCTCACCTTTTTTTTTTTTTTTTTTTTGGGGGGGGGGTCCGGTTGTGGGGCCTGAACTCTGGGCCTGGGCGCTGTTCCTCAGCTCTTCAGCTCAAGGCGAGCGCTCTACCACTGGAGCCACAGTGCCACTTCCGGCTTTTTTCTTTTTGCTTATGTGGTGCTGAGGAATCGAACCCAGGGCCTCAGGCATGCAAGGCAAGCTCTTACCACTGAGCCACCTTCCCAGCCCCCTGCACCTCACCTTCTATCCCAGCTGAGAGGAAAGGGCTCACCTCTCCTTCCACAGTCCAATTCCATTGTCATCCAGGAAACCAAATCCAGCCTCTTGGCTAATACCTTCCTCTCTCATAAGTGCTGTCCTTTGACCCTCCTCACTGTCCACCAGGGCAGGGCCAGGAGCCCCAGTAGAGGAGTAAGCACTGCTGAGTCCCTGGAGCTCAAGGCAGGAGTTTGAATTCAGGGCCTGCCTCCTGTACCCGCCAGTGGGAAAGCAGACATCAGTGCTGGGCTCATATTCAGCCCTGACCTGGAAGGCTTTGCTTCTGCACAAGGATCCTGGGTTCTTCAAGGATCGTCCCCAAGGATTGTCTCTAGAATTCCAGGACTGAGCTCTGTTCCCTCGCAGGGCCTTTCCTTACTTTTGCATTACTGGGGGTGGAACCCAGGCCCTTGCACTTGCTAGGCAAGCATCTACCCCTTGGCCACATCCCAGTGCCATCCACAGCCTTCAGCCTCAGCTTCTGCTTGATGATTGGATCTAGTGAATCTGCTCCATGTTTTTGGACCAGAAGCTGCCTTTTCTCACTACCACAGGGGCCCATGGGGAGGCCAGGACACAGGCCTTCTCTCACCATGATCCTGCTCTTTTTTTCTCTCTGCCCTGCCCAGGCTGAGCTTCTGCAAGTCATCCTGAGGCCTCAACTGCAAGCTGAAAGTCTCCAGAGTCTCCCTCCACATGCCCACACGCCCTGACCCTCCCTGCTCCCACGGTCCTGGACCAACCAAAAGCTGAACGGATGCCATGCTGTGCTGGGTCCCCAGGACCTCAGCAGAGCTGCTTCCTGGTGCTATGCAGCCTCCACACTCAGATCCCAGGGACAGGGCTGGCCTGAGGGCCAGGGGCTGAGGGTACTGCTGGCCCAACACTGCTCTCTTTGTGTTTGTTTTATTTTTGTTGTCATTTTTTTTCAATTCTTTACTTTTGATACTGTGAACATCTTTCATCCTGAAAGATAAAAGCAACATTTGGACACAGAGTTGGTGTGGTGTGATTTGCTGCCTGGGTAGGGAGAGGAAGGGATGTGCACAGCTCTACTGGAATCACAAACCTTATGGAGCAGGTACTGTGTGTCAGGCTTTAGGCCTTCTCAAAGCAATCTGAAAGTGGGGCTGTAGACCCATTTTACAGATGAGAAACAAAGGATGAGAGTGAAGTGACTAGCACACTCAAGTCTGCTCAAGTAGAGCTTAACACAGGCCCATGTGACCCTGACATCTGTGTTGTTGGCCCAGCTATGATATGAGCCTAATAAGGCAGGTTCCAACCAGCTTCGGATCTGTTTTCCCCCTTTGCAGCATGGGCAAGGGGTGGTTTGGATGTCACCTCTGGGCATCTAGGTGTGGAAGGGGTCTAGAAGGCCTAAGGCCTTTGCAGATCAGACACCTCTATGTCTTGCCAATTGAGGCTTCTCACCCTGACAATGTAGTGAGGACAGTTGGGAGTAAATTCAGTTTCTTAAGTAAGCTCTGAGGTCTCAGTTGGGACTGTACCTGTATACTTGAGAGTAAAAAGGGTAACAAACGTATCAATAAGCACAAGCAATCAACTGCCTCCCCAGTTGGTGCTCGTTTGTAAATTCCAGCAGTAATACAATGATTTTTTTAAAAATCCCAGCTGGGCTGTGGTGGCTCACGCCTGTCATCCTAGCCACTCAGGAGGCTGAGATAGGAGAATCACAGCTCAAAGCCAGCCCAGGCAGGAACATCTGTGAGACTCTGATCTCCAATAAATTACTAGAAAAGGAAGTGGCGCTGTGGTTCAAGTGGTAGAGCGTTCACCTTGAGCTGAAGAGCTGATGGACAGTGCCCAGGCCCAGAGTTCAAGCCCTACCACCAACAGAAATAAAATCCCTCCTACATACATAAGTCCCAACTCCCAAATTAGTTTAATGTATGCTTTTTTTTTGGGGGGGGGAGACCGGGTCAGTCGTGGAACTTGAACTCAGGGCCTGGGGGCATCCCTTAATCTCTTCAGCTCAAGGCTAGCGCTCTACCACTTTAGCCACAGCGCCACTTCCGGTTTCCTGGCTTCATTGTTGATCAGAGTCTCACGGACTTTCCTGCCCGGGCTGGCTTTGAACCTCGATCCTCAGCTCTCAGCCTCCTGCGTGGCTAGGGTGACAGGCCTGAGCCACCGGCGCCCTGCATTGTACGTCTGCTTTTTTTTCCCTCCTTCCCTTCAGTCCTAGGCTGTAGTGCCTAGCGGCTCCAATTCCTGGCAAGTCCTTTCTCCCCGCGAGCCCTGGGCCCGGGCGCCCTTGGCAGCCTCGGTTCTGGGTACCCGCCCCCCCGCGGTGTGGCTGTCCCTTTGTTCCCTGAGGAACCTCTGTGCACACGCACGCACGCACACCAGCAGCCATCTGTCGCCGCCACTCTCCCTCCGGAGGCCTCGCCCCCTTCCCGGCGCGGCGATTCCCACGCTGCCCCGGGGGCTCACACCCGCCGCTCTGCGCCCGCTCGGCCGCCGCCATGGACGTGTGCCCGCCGCGCCCCGCCCCGCGGAGGCGGGGTCACGCCCGCCGCGCCCCCCCCCCGCGGAGGCGGGGTCACGCCCGCCACGCCCCGCCCCGCGGAGGCGGGGTCACGGTCCCGCCCGCCACGCCCCCCCCGCGGAGGCGGGGTCACGGTCCCGCCCGCCACGCCCCCCCCGCGGAGGCGGGGTCACGGTCCCGCCCGCCACGCCCCCCCCGCGGAGGCGGGGTCACGGTCCCGCCCGCCACGCCCCCCCCCGCGGAGGCGGGGTCACGGTCCCGCCCGCCACGCCCCACAGGCGCCGCGGGGGTGGGCACGGTCCTGGAGCCCCAGCTCGAGACGCCGCCCCGGGGCCCCGCGCCGCACGTCCTCCGGCCTCCGGCCTGACGCCTTCGCCCCCACCCCCGGCCCCGCTCACGGTCCCGTCCGGCTACCGCCTCTTCGGAAGGAAGTTTGTCCCTCGGCGCCACCCGGCGCTCCGCGTTGTTGCTAGGCGCCGACGCCCATGCCCTCTCACCTGATTGGTTCTCGTGGCAGCGTGGGGGCGTGGTCCTCCGGAGCGCGCATGCGTGCGCCAAGGATGGAGGAGTCGGAACCCGAGCGGAAGGTGGGACGGCGGCCGGGGCGCGCGCGGGTCCGGAGCGGGGGGAGCGGGGCGCGGGCCTGAGTCGGGCCGGTGTGTGGGGAGCCGGGAGGGGTCGCGGGCCCGAGTCGGGGCGGTGTGTGGGGGGCCGGGAGGGGTCGCGGGCCTGAGTCGGGGCGGTGTGGGGGGGGCAGGGGAGGGGGCGCGGGCCTGAGTCGGGGCGGTGTGTGGGGGGCCGGGAGGGGTCGCGGGCCTGAGTCGGGGCGGTGTGGGGGGGGCAGGGGAGGGGGCGCGGGCCTGAGTCGGGGCGGTGTGTGCGGAGCGGGGGAGGGGTCGCGGGCCCGAGTCGGGGCGGTGTGGGGGGGGCAGGGGAGGGGGCGCGGGCCTGAGTCGGGGCGGTGTGTGGGGGGCCGGGAGGGGTCGCGGGCCTGAGTCGGGGCGGTGTGGGGGGGGCAGGGGAGGGGGCGCGGGCCTGAGTCGGGGCGGTGTGTGCGGAGCGGGGGAGGGGTCGCGGGCCCGAGTCGGGGCGGTGGGGGGGGGGGGCAGGGGAGGGGTCGCGGGCCTGAGTCGGGGCGGTGTGTGGGGAGCAGGGGAGGGGTCGCGGGCCCGAGTCGGGGCGGTGTGGGGGGGCAGGGGAGGGGTCGCGGGCCTGAGTCGGGCCGGTGTGTGGAGGGCAGGGGAGGGGGCGCGGGCCTGAGTCGGGGGCAGGGGAGGGGGCGCGGGCCTGAGTCGGGGGCAGGGGAGGGGGCGCGGGCCTGAGTCGGGGCGGTGTGTGGGGGGCCGGGAGGGGTCGCGGGCCTGAGTCGGGGCGGTGTGGGGGGGGCAGGGGAGGGGGCGCGGGCCTGAGTCGGGGCGGTGTGTGCGGAGCGGGGGAGGGGTCGCGGGCCCGAGTCGGGGCGGTGGGGGGGGGGGCAGGGGAGGGGTCGCGGGCCTGAGTCGGGGCGGTGTGTGGGGAGCAGGGGAGGGGTCGCGGGCCCGAGTCGGGGCGGTGTGGGGGGGCAGGGGAGGGGTCGCGGGCCTGAGTCGGGCCGGTGTGTGGAGGGCAGGGGAGGGGGCGCGGGCCTGAGTCGGGGGCAGGGGAGGGGGCGCGGGCCTGAGTCGGGGGCAGGGGAGGGGGCGCGGGCCTGAGTCGGGGGCAGGGGAGGGGGCGCGGGCCTGAGTGGGGGCGGTGTGGGGGGGGCCGGGGAGGGGGCGCGGGCCTGAGTCGGGGGCAGGGGAGGGGTCGCGGGCCTGAGTCGGGGGCAGGGGAGGGGTCGCGGGCCTGACTCCTGCGTATCCACAGCGGGCCCGCCCTGACGAGGCGACTGCCGGAGGGAGTCGCTCCGAGGATGAGGACGGGGAGGACGAAGAATACGTGCCGTATGTGCCGCTGCGACAGCGCCGGCAGCTCCTGGTGAGGGGCGCTGGTGGGCGGGGAGCGGGGTGGGTGACCCTGGCCTTGGAGGGGAGCGATCCCAGGAGAGTTAGTATCAAAGCAGCTGGTGCCCCTGGGGGTACACCCCACCCTTCCGGGGATGCCCCCTCCTCTTGTCTCGGGCTTTGCTCTGAGGGGAACTGGTGGAACCCCAGCTTCAGAAGCTGCTGCAGCGCAGACGCAAAGGAGCCGCGGAGGAGGAGCAGCAGGACAGCGGCAGCGAGCCCCGGGGGGATGAAGACGACATCCCCCTGGGCCCTCAGTCCAACGTCAGCCTCTTGGATCAGCACCAGCACCTCAAAGAGAAGGCTGAAGGTGGGTTGGGGCAGCACTGCCTGGCAGGGCCAGAAGAGCACAGCTAAGCCTGGCCACTTGTGTTGGTATCTCTTGACATCTTTGATTTCCTTCCTCAGCCCGCAAGGAGTCTGCAAAGGAGAAACAGCTCAAGGAAGAAGAGAAGATTCTGGAGAGTGTAGCGGAAGGACGAGGTATTGTGCCAGCTCCAGGGCAAAGGGGAGGCAGACTGAGTCCCCTCTCCTCCAACCTCAGGCAGGCATGTTAGATCTGGAGGGGTCTCACCCTCTGGGAAGCAAGAGCCAGCCTTGAGCTATGTCTTGTCTCCTTAGCCTTGATGTCAGTGAAGGAGATGGCCAAGGGCATCACGTACGATGACCCCATCAAAACCAGGTACATCTCTGTAGTCTGTGCGGTTGCCCGTAGCTGGGATGATGTGTGGTGGACCCTGGCGGTGGCACCCAGAGACCTGCTATGCTCAGATCTTTTCTTGACCACGACTGTTGACCCTCAGTTGGACTCCACCCCGTTACGTCCTGAACATGTCTGAAGAGAGGCATGAACGAGTACGGAAGAAGTATCACATCCTGGTGGAGGGAGATGGCATCCCACCACCCATCAAGAGCTTCAAGGAAATGAAGTTTCCCGCAGGTACCTAAAACAGTGAGACAACCATGCTCTGTGTCTGTGTTTGCGTGCACGCATGCGTGCCAATACTGGGGGTTGAACTCAGAGCCAGGACATAATCCCTTACCTTTTCCCTCAAGGCCGGTGCTCCACCACTTGAGCCACACCTCCACTTCTAGTTTTTGTGCCATTTAATTGGAGATAAAAGTCTGATGAATCTGGGCACCGGTGGCTCACTCCTATAATCATAGCTACTCAGGAGACTGAGATCTTAGGATTGTGGTTCAAAGCCACCCTGGACAGGAAAACCTGTGAGAGTCTTACCTCCAATTAACCACCAGAAAAACTGGAAGTGGCGCTGTGGCTCAAGTGGTAGAGCACTGGCCTTGAGCTGAAGAGCTCAGGGACAGCACCCAGGCCTAGAGTTCAAGCCCCATGACTGACCAAAAAGAAAAACAAAAAATTCTGATAGACATTTCTGCCTGGGCTGGCAGAACTTTGATTCTCAGACCCCAGTTTCTAAGTAGCTGGGATTATGGGCATGAGCCACCAGTGCCCAGCCAACAGCTCCACTTTTATAACCAAGC